TATGCCACACTGGCTTGGGCACATGGTTGGTAATGCAATGGGTGCCAGGATTGCTTATGCAGAAGGGCACTTCAGGGTGTGTGCTCACCAAAGGAGCTTGGCAAAGGCACGGGGCACTCATTTTGCAGAAGGGCATAATCACCTGTAGGCATGAAGCACAAGAAGGGCAGCCCCACTGGAATTAGGTCTCTGCCACTGGGGATTGGGCACTGCTTGGCATGGCTTGGATAATTGAGATTGCCAACAAGAGAAGGGTGCTGTTGTTACCCATTGGTTTGACTTGGCCGTGCTTTCTCTTGGAGGGGAAGAGAGCTAGGATTCTGGGTGGTAATCTGGGCACAGAGAGTGCTGGCATAAGAAATTCAGCCTACAGGACTCAGTGAAGCTTTCTTTGCCTGTGAGCGGTTGATTTGCAAGCTGGGATGTCAATGCAAGGGAACCCATCCATCCTCTGAGTTTAGTTAAACTCTCAGTTTTATGTTCCTAGTAGGGCAGGGGATGCTTTATGCATTTGGTTATCTTCTAGATGGGTTTCATGATGGGTGGCAAATGGCACAGGATTTATCCCATACTGAGAAAACTGAGCTCGGTTACAGATTAGGTGTATTTGTTTTCTAAAAACCCAGACCTTTCAAGATCCAAGCATATTTAAAGATGTTTACACAGACGATAGTTCCTGAGATAGTTCATCAGGTGCCCAAGCCAGCATTTTGCACAGTCCTGCTATAGTACTTGTTAATTCATGGTCATAAAAGTTTGTCCTGTCTTAAAATTTATGTCTTTAAGGATTTTTACTTTGGTATTTTCCCCCCTAAAAAAACCTTGCATTCACCTGGAAACTGTTGAATAAAATGTTGTGTACGCTTTATATTTGGCACGCTTTCTATTTCCCCCCCAGAAATGAGTGCCAGACTCAGTCTCGGATGCCTTAGCTTATACTTTACAGTTGATTCCTGACATTTTTGCAAGCTATATGCTTGCTTTTGCTTTAATTTGTTTTAATCAACTGAATTTTTAATGTGACGTCAGAAAGAAACTCTTCTAGAACATGGCCACACAGCCCGAAAAACCCACAAAAAACTGAATTTTTGATTGATGTCTGTCTAACCATGAGGGCTCATTAATGTCCCCACATAAACTGAAAAGTTACAAGAAAAGTCCCTCATCTGGGTAGTTCTCTCTTAATTTGCAGTTGTAACACTTCACTCATTAGCATGCCACAACACTTCTGCCTTTGCACACAACCTCTTTGTGGCTAACTCTGTCCTCACACTGTTCCAAAACCGTGAGAAGGAACACATAGTTTTGAGCATTGCCTGTGAGCATCCATAATTGTGTTAGCTTTCTAGGGCTTCTTTGTTAGCAGCACAGTGAGCTTGAACTGGGGTAGCTCTTCTGTGAATACAACATGTCCATTCTGTGTCAACATCATATACACTCTGGACACAAGCCAGCCTTGAGGGATCAATGCTCTGGAGTGTTTACTTATTATGCATGCACTGGTTACATCCAGACTAGACTGCCTTAATGCTGTCCACATACTTTAAAGACATTTCAGAGATGTCTACTGGTACATATTTCAGCTTCCAGAAAGCATGTCGCTGTTAGGTGGTTTGATCATATTGCACTGATTTTGCATCAGTTATTGGTTAACCAGCTGTTTCCAGGCTCATTTTGAATACTGGTAACC